TAGTTTCGTTAATCCAAAAAAAACTTAGTTCCATGTAAAGAAAGAAAAGAATGCAAAAGTTTTGCGTCAAAAAACAAATTTTTATTAGCATTTCAAAGATTATAAAATATTAAAAATTCACAAGGATAAAAAAACATACTCCATGTAGCAGATAAAGTGACATAAACATGCTTTTCTTTAATACTCTTATTTTAATGCAATTATTTATTTAGTATTACTGCAGTTTTTAATTCCAAGAATAACTTTAAATGAGCAATTAATAGCATTATCCCATTTCTCAAAGCTCAAAACATTATAGAGCTTTTAAAAAAGCATGAAAATGCCTTTTCAGTTGAGTATATAAAGTAAATTACAGGTTAAAAAGCTAAAACAAAACTCAAAATTTTAAAAACACTATGCATTATTTCAAACAAATTACTGCACCACTGTAGCAAGTGAATTCCTTTCCATATAAATTTAAATGCTAGCAGCAAAAATTATAATAACAATAAAATTAGCTTTATATGTATATTTGCAACATTATTTATGCCTGGAGTTTAAAAAAATCATCTAAATAAATCCGATTTTGCAATAACATGAAATAACAATTACATTACATATTAGCACATTAGATGCAGCAAAACATTAAGGTTTCTACATTTAGAAAAATATACACATAAGAATAAAAGCATTGAAATAAAAAGTAGTACATTTCGTGCTTTATAAAATATATAAAGGAGTTTTGCTAAATCAAAAGCTTAATGTCGTATTATAAAAAAGAATAAACTGCTACTTTGACCTTTCTATAGAATTCATTTCACACATCTATAATAAATTCGCATGGTATCATAAGTATTGTTGATCATCATACATAATGCAAATAGCATATTATTTATATTAGTAGAAACTGAAATTAAACTAACTCTATAAATATTTCTTTGCAAATTGTTTATGCTTATTTTTCTAGAAAAATGCCTAAAAAACTTAATTAGTATAAAAATGAAATAAATGTATACATTTGCATATTAATATTGCAAATATTATGGGTACACAAGTACTACCTCATACATCTTTATCTATCATTCTTAATCACACTAATCAAAACTAATAACCTACTTTCTCTTTTCAATTGTAACCAGAAATCGTTAAATACAATTAAAATATATAAGTCATCTAAATGTTTAATTAAAGATTAGATTTCCATTAAATTCATGAAGTTTGCATATAATACAACAAAATAAATAATTCATTCAAATTGCCATAAAAATATATGTATATGTTTCATTAATATTTAAAACATTTTATACAAGCATAAATAAAACTTACAGTTACATAAACTTAAGGCCTTATTTAAACTGAACACAAATTATCTATTTTACTAGAGTTTGAAGCTTTCGTTTCCTTAAAGTACTTCTCAGCACATCATTCTTTTGATTACAGTAATTTTTAAAAAAAGTATTGCATGATGCTTTTATAACAAAATTTAGAATATTTTCTAAGGTGTGTCCGTTATTACATTGGTCATAGGTTATGCATTCACCGTCTATTAAAATTTGATACTTAATGCCCTATGCAAGAGATCGCTGATTGCGTACCTTTAAAAAATTTGTCTTCATGTTTCTTCAGATACTAATTTTTTTACTACAATATAGGTATATGATACGACAGTTATTACATCTGGTTGTGGACATAGCAATCCGCCTCGGTCCATATTCAGTATGAAACGATTCTTCATCCAATTCCAAAGTTTTGTCTAAAGTTAGGTTTCCCGACAATACTCGCATTTCACAGTCTCAGAAATCTATATACGCAATATCCAGCGAGATATGTTATGAGTGGCATTACATTAATAGAATCCAGTTCATTTTGAGTTACTTGTAACGTACAGAAGGCACTAATAAAATTCTTGTCAGTATTAATGAGGTCAATATTATCTGTATCAAAACTTCTGATTTCAATTTTTCCAGGAACAGCATTGCATGCTAGACGAGGATGCTGTAAAACTGCTGTCACTTTTCTGCCAGTTCTTTCATCGTAGATTTCTGAAACTCTTTCGATGTCACATGCAGCAAAATGAAGCTCACAGACCTAATAAAATAAAAGAGACAATTAGAATCCTCATAAAAATTCTATAAGGAAAAAAATTCTTTTTTTAAAACTTTCTAAAATGTTGTAATAGGTTTATTTAAGTAAAAAATATTAGCTTAATTGAAAATCAAGAATTTTCATTAATCAGTAAGTTCAAAAAATTACTTCTTATAACAAGAAAACAAAATATGGTTATTTTAAAATTTGATGGTTTTGCCAGATTCTTTATTAGCTTAAATTCGAAGCTAAATTTTAGGGAACATATACTTTTAAAATATTTATCATTATAGTTCAAGAATATATTTAATGGAAATTTTTCTTCTTTGTTTACCTTTTTTAAATTATAAATACAGTTTTGACTAATGTACTTCATAATGTTTTACAATTGGTCTCTTTTAACTATTACTGAATTTGAAAACGGACGTCAATTGTTCAGTTTTTATGTGAACTAAGTATTAAAATATTTTGGGCCTAAAATGCTACATTTTTAATACCTATTATAATTAATATTGGAGTTCTCTTATGTCAATATCACTCTAGATTGCTAATTCTAAATATTTGTTAGTTACAATACTTAAATTATTTAACCATTTAATTAACATTTTCTAAAATTAACGATTCGTTAAAAGATTAGAATTATAACTAGGATAATCATGAATTTTTTCATTACAAATTTATGTTAACCAAAAAGTATTTTATTATTCAGTTGTGAAAGGTGACAACTGAAATTTTCAAATCATCTTGACATTTTGCATACAAAAATATATAGCTAATTTTTTTTTTTTCCTCTTAATTCTTTGTGAAAATATTTCTTACCTATAGACCAAAAACTTATTAGACCAAAAACTCTAAGTTGACCAAAAACTTATATACCTTCAGTTGCATAAATACAGTGAACGATAAAATATATAGTGAATGATATGGAATACATTAAAATATATAATGAGCAGATTGATATTTAGTATGATAGACACTGTAATCAGTAATCAAGAAAACATATGTTTCTTACCCTAGAAGCTTTCGTAGGCTGGAAGTTTTTTCGATGGATCGCCATTATCCATTTCTTTCGAAGATCTGGATCCCTCGGGAAACGAAAAATTGACACTTTGGGCTGTCCTTTGTAGTTGATGTGTGTTTAATCCAAAACGTAAGCATAAAACAAAAGGAAGAGAAAAACGTTTTCTACAGGAGATACAAAAATACAGCAATGGCGAACGGTCACACCAAGACTACTGAGAGCTCGTGAACATATCAGTCAAAGGTCAAGGCTACGAGTCGCAAGAGGTCTCCTCATCGTGACGTAAGATGACGTAGCGAGGGGAGTGATACGGCCTTCTAAGTCTCGGTGGTGTCGGTTAAGCTCGACTGTCCGAATATTCGCCAATTTCCAAGTATGCGAGTTAGTTAAGCTTTTACTGTAAAGGATGACTGCTGAAGCAAATTTCTGTTTCTGATTTCAGAATGTTCCTCTTTTTATTTAAATTACTTTTCTTGCAGTATTGTTAAGGGAAAACTGATATACAATGAAAATTTAGAAAATGTTCATAATTTATATTTAAATTATTTTAAATATCATATGAGTGGAAAAAATAAATTGTATTTATTATTAGGTTCCAAGCGAATACAATAAATATGCCTTATTATTATTTATTTTCTCTATTTGAACTGAAATTTCATCATTAAATCTTGTAATATAGTTTACTTCTGCATAGTTTTTTTCCCCTCTTATTGTAAAACTAGTTCTGTAAATTGAACTGTTATTTAAAATAAAAAATAAAAAAGTAATTATTTTCCATGGTTTAGGTAATGCTTATTCTCTCTTAATATCTTATTTCACATATTTTAAATTACAAGTCTAATTTTTAAGGTTATGCAGTTGTGTATAATGTAATTAGACAGGTGCTTTTTTTTTTTTTTTTTTTTTTTTCTTAAAATGTGCTTGAAAAGTGCTTATAGGTGCTGAACCCTGAGTAACCTATGCTAACCATTTAATATAACTGTATTCGCCAAAATATCTTTGATTATTCTAATTCAAATTTTAAGCAATTATCTTTATTTTAATGTTATTTCGTATCATTTAATGTTGTTTCTTCCCTCTAAATTTATTTATTATTAGTAAATAATACTTTCAAATTTCAGGAAATTTTCTGTGGCATAATCCTGAAACTAATTATTGTGGCATGATGACATATCATCACAAAATTTAATTTGCATATTTTTTGCTTATGTATGCTGCTAAATAAATATAAAATACCTGAGTTTATTTTAAAATATCATTAAATAGATTTCTTTCTTTCGTTTAGCTGCAAAATGTCTGCAGAAAAAGACATTTCTTAATCCATATTGGGCAGATTCTAATCTTAGTCTTCAGTGGAGAAAACAACTTCTATTATAGTTATAAAAATAATGCTTTGATAATTATATATTAAAGTCATATGTAATTGGCAAATTTTTGTGCTTTCAAGTGATACCATAATTAATTTACCACTAAACACAACCAACGTGCATTATGCGGATAGACTGGAATTTTGTTAAAACACACTTGGAAAACCTGGAAAAGTCAGGAAATTTCATTCTTCTGCTTGAGTGGCAACCCTGTTATGTAATCCAGCTGAAATGGTGAAACTGAATGTGTGTGTTCACAAATTATGTGATCCAACTGAAATTGTGAAAGGAATAACATCACTTACAATAGTATTATTCTTTTCACCTCTTCAATTCACAATTTTGTTTGTTCATAATCTTTTATTTAGAAATCTCTTTTTTGCTCTTGGAATTGTGTTCTTTTTTTATTAATTTTATTTCTTAATTTTTAAATGATTAAGTAAATGTAGAAATGTACAGAAAGTGCATTTGAAATTGTATTTGTTAAAGAAATTAATGTATTTCATAATATTCATTTTATGTGTATAACTTTATTTCGTTTTTCCTAGGAGGAGATTCCACTCAGTTCACTTTTTATGAGTGATGATAAATTTCTTTCTGTTGAAAATGCTGGGGAAAAATATGCAAAAGATGCAAGAAAACGTCGTTCTACTGATTTTAGCATTTGTGATATAAAATTGCCTGACAATTTAGGTTTGTACCTGTTTTGTTTGGTTCTTCAATTTCTTTTGCTTGTGAAAGAAATTTCCTTAAAGTTATATTTAAAATAATTTTTTCAACATACTTTCGTTCACTTATGTCCCAAACCAAGTTTTTCCCCCTCTAATATCCAGAAGGAAGGATTGGATTGAAATATTATTTGGAAAGAAACTGGTAACCATAAAAATAATAAGTAATTGAAAAATGAGAATGGTATGACCAATATTTATTGCACAACATATAAAAACAGTATAACTCTCAATAGAATGTCATGCTGTCATTATTTCTAATGTATTTTATCACATGCTGCTGCATGCTCTTTAATCTAGTCTTGCATTAACTTATCCCATGCAGACTGAACTCTGTCTTGTAGTTATGCAGACTTTGTGGCAGTACTGGAGTCTTGAGTGGCACATAGCATTTCAAATATTTCTATTGGGGACCAATCTAACAATATATCTGGTTAACAGTTGAGTGTCCATGGCTGCAGAACAAGCTCTTGAGATTCCAGTTGCCAGTGAATGTTATCCTGCTTAAATAGAGCACTGGGATATGTATTCACAAATGGCAGAGCCATTGGTTGAAAGATTTCATTATCATACCACTGGCTGTCAAAGTGCTCAAGTTGAAGCTGATAGTAATTGGAGTCATATGAAATGATATCCTCCATCTGTGCCACCCTCCATTTGGAGATGTGACATCAAACAAAATATCTTGACACTGATCACATTGCCTTTACAAGTAAATACATTGGTCATCTGCACGCCGAAAAACTCAAGACTCATTTCTTAAGATTACCTACTGTCATTCAGTATAGCTTCGTGATGCTCTCTCGTATTCTGTGGTATCATAGGCAACTACATTAACATCTGCGTTCCTATAATCCAATAGTGTGCAGATGTATGCTAATAATACAGTACAAAGTCTTTAATCTGGTCTCGTCGGGGCTTCGGCGATTCTGGATTATTGATTTTTCCGGATTATAGATCATCATTTTAAATCTGGTAAGATGGCATGTAAAAATTATAAAATTAAAAATCTGAAACTGTAATTTATGAAATAAAGAACAATTATGATCTATAGGGTATCAAAATTTACAAAAAAAAAAAAAAAAAAAAAAAAAAAAGCTTAATATTTATTTTTTTACTTTATTAAATATTTCTTTCAATGTAAGTTGTTTAAGTTGCTTCGTTTTATGTGATAATAGTTTCTCTTTAATTCTATAAACAGACATAATTCTTCTTCAGTTACAAAGTTACGCTGTTCAAGTCCTATAATTGCTGTGTCGAAAGTACTGACTAATTTGTCAATCGAAATTTTTTCGTTTTCAGTAACCTCTCTGTCACTTTCTTCACTATCAGAAACGGTACATCGAAACATGCCTTCACTTTGTAGATCCTTTGGCAGCTCCAGAATCGGAAAGTCTTTTTGACATAATCGAAAGTTTAAGCTTACTTTTTATAAAATTGCTCTAACAGTCTGCACAAAATAATAAGCCGAATCCAACTAGAAGATTAAGGAACAACGCATTCTGCAACATTAATTGAAATAGATAATTAGATATTTTTAGCCTACCTTATACCATGCGTTATATATTAAACGCGCATGCGTAAAGGTATTATGCATGTTTGTAGCTTTGAGGTCTGGATTTTAGATCATTCCGGATTATGGACGTCCGGATTAAAGACTTTGTACTGTACTTGTTTTAAAAGAATGCTGCAGGAAGTGAATCACTGCTTGCTGAATATCTGCAGTCATGGGTTATGCAGCAGGTTGGGCATGTCAGACAACCCTTTCGGCCTTTCCTTATTATCTGTAGAGGTCTCCTAGAGCCTGCATATCATAAGTGCATACCTTCCTGATTTCGGTACTATCAGTAGTATGCATAAGTAACATTTACTCAAATAAAATGGTGCGCTATCTGATTAAATGACCACCTGCCTTTATGCATGCGTATAATGCAACCCTTCTGGAAAGTCTCTAACTGCTGATATTGTTTTAATTTTTTTTCAAAGGCACAGTGAAACCAATGATTTTAACATACTTATTGAACAATACTCAAAATGAAACTTACACTTATGTGAATGATCTTGGAAGAATGTGACAGATATAACTTTGTCCTTGCTCACTCATGCAGACAAGTTTAGAATTTGAATCATTCGCAACAATGATTAATCTGTATGCTTGAGTTTTTGATTGTTGTTTCCCTTTTAGGTGGGTGTTATATACAGATTGATGTGTAGTTTTATAATTGAGAATAATTACAATACTTGAATTTCTTTCAGATTATTTGTATTCTGAATATTGATTATCTTTATTATTATTTATCTCTAGGTTTTTTTTTTTTTTCAGTTTTTTAAATTTATTTTCAATAACTTTCTTCTGTATTCTGAATTACTGCATTAATTGAATAATTATCATAAAAATAAATGGCCCATGTAGCACAGCAACATCGTAACAACGTTGCAAACTCGTTGCGGATGTCATTGTAAAAACGTTGCAATATGTCGTCTTTAAGATACCCAGATGTTCGTGAAACTCCACTGTTTTGCAACCATTGAAAAGACATCCTTATTATGTCTTTGCGGATGAGGTTTTTGTTGCATAGATGTCATTATTGCATCTTTCGCAGGTGATATTTTGGTTGTGAAAACATCATATCACGACGCCTAAATGTTTGCAAAATTCTACCTTTTTGCAACAGTTGTGAAAATGTCATTATTATGTCCTTGTGTTACATATTGATTTATGCAGAAAAATAAGCTTAATAGTTAATATATATATATATGATGTACCAGCTTTTGTCCGGAATAAATAGATTGGTGAAGAATCATAAACGTAGTCGAAGCTCAAAGTATCAGACAATAAGTTTAAAAAACAGGATCCATTTATTATTATTCAGGAGAAATAGCAGTTACAAAAGTCAGATATCCGGAAGTAATAAAAAAAAACTACTAATAACTTTTTGTATGAAGTTACTGCATTGTTACATTTAAAGAAAAAGCCCCCGATATTCCATTGCGAGTCCTTTTTATAGTCTCTGGAAAGGCAGAGCTTCCAAGAAATGGACGTCAGCCAATTCCAGTTCGCTTTAAATTAATCTCCAGAACGTTCTATAACTGTACGTGTAGAAAAAACGGGAAAAAAACAACTTGACTACGGGGCTGTGGATTTAATTCCACGTACTTTCAAATAAAGAGAACCGTCGCCATTAAAAAATGAAAAGAACATACAGTTAGAACTTTAAGTGTATTCTTGACAATGGAAATTTTATTATTACATACAGTGGATGGACAAAAATATGGGAAACACCTTGTGAAATGCATGTTTGAAAAAGAAAGATTGATTTTAATGAAATATGTAGGTGGCGCTGGCGTTTTTGACTACTGACGCCACCTATACAACTTCGTAAATGTGCTAAACAGTTCAGTTGTTGTCGGAGTTACTGTTATGTGAGGTTGTCATTACATTATGTCAGAGAGTTAACAGACTTCGAACGTGGGCAAATTGTTGGAGCATGTATGTAGGTAGGTGCTTCCGTAAGCAAGGTAGCCGAGGTGTTTAGTGTTTCAAGAGGTACTATATCGAAGATTTATTCCGCATATATTGAAAAAAAGCGGAAAGAAAAACATAATCTGCTAAATCACAGCGCGGACGAAAGTGTGTCCTGAGTGATCGTGACAGACGATCATTGAGGGCGATTGCAACGAAAAATAAGAAGACCACAGCTGCAAAAGTTACTGCTGAAATGAATGTTGTGTTACCGAACCTGTGAGTACCAAAACAATTAGAAGGGAGCTTCATAAACAGGGAATTGCTGGCCATGCTGCAATTGAGAAGCCACTCATCAGTGATGCTAATGCCCGTAACAGGAAAAGGTGGTGTTTAAGTCATAAAGCCTGGACTATAGAGCAGCAGTGGAAGCGAGTAAGTAATATGGTCTGACGAGTCTTCTTTCACATTGTTTCCCACTTCTGGCCGAGTTTATGTCTGGAGAACGCCATCTCAAGCCTATAATACAGACTGCTTGTTGCCAAGAGTGAAACATGGCGGGGGTTCTGTTATGGTTTGGGCAGCCATATCGTGGTTCTCTGCTAGCCCCATGATAACTGTGTCAGGGCACATGACTGCCAAGACTTATGTGAACATTTTGGCTGATCAAGTTCATCACATGGTACAAACTTTGTTCCCCAATGGTGATGGTGTCTTCCAAGACGACAAAGTCCCTGTTCATACAGCTCACATTGTCCAGGACTGGTTTTCTGAGCACGAGGATGAGTTGTCCCATCTCCCCTGGCCACCACAGTCACCAGACCTGAATATTATCGAACCTTTGTGGTCTACATTGGAACGGAAAGTGCGTTCTCGTTATCCACCGCCAACATCATTATCTGAACTTGCCACCGTTTTGCAGGAAGAATGGTATAATATTCCCTTGGCAAGCATACAGGAACTGTATTTATCCATTCCGAGAAGATTGCAAGCTGTTTTGGATGCCAACGGGTTTCCTACACCATATTAAGCAAGAAACATGTTTTTTTAAAGGTGTTTCCATATTTTGTCCAAACCCTGTATAATATTATTTTTTTTTAATTTTTTATTCCTTGTATTTATTTAAAGTTTAAATATTTTATCATTTCCTGAAAACCAGAAGGTAATACAATTTTTTTCTCTTTAGACTAAATACGCATAATTAATAATATTCTTAATTATTTTCAGTACTTTAAACTATATTTTTTAAATAACTAAAATTCTAAGTTACGATTATTTAAGATTTCATCATTTTTTTCCCTTAAGTGAGAGTAATTATGAAAGTGGTTATTATAAATATGTAACATTAATAGTAGGCAGAGTTGCCAACTCTCCCAATTTTCGACCGCTCTCCCGCCAACCCGATTTACAATATATTTCTCCCGACTTTTTCTTATTCTTAATATTTCTCACGATTTTTATGGAACTTAGCTTAATACTTCATTATATGAACGAAAAAAAAA